ATATATATATATATATATATATATATATATATGTTGTTTGTTTTTGAGTGTATATACTTTCATATTAAAATAAAACTAAATTTTTTATTTCCCTTTTTGAGAGGTAAAATTCTATTTTTTCCTCTTTATTAAAAATCACACTAGGCACAGTGGCTCAAACCTGTTGTTCCAGTACTTTGGGAGGCAGAGGCGAGAGGATTGCCTAAGCTCAGGGGTTCAAGACCAGCCTGGACAACTTGGTAAGACCTCGTCTCTACAATAAATCAAAAAAATTAGCTGGGTGTGGTAGTGTGTACCTGTAGTTCCAGCTACTTGAAAGGCTGAGGTGGAAGAATCACCTGAGCCCAGCAGGCTGAGGCTGCATTGGCTGTGAGCGTGCCACTGCACTCCAGCCCAGGCAACAGAGTGAGACTCCAACTGAAAAAAAAAAAAAATCACTATACCTAATCTACCATTTTGAGTAACACCAAGTGTGAATATCACCTGCTTTTTAACTCTAAAAACTGGGTTGAAATCCTGCCTCTACCACTTATTAACTACAATCTCTCTGGCATTTATTTTTCACATGTACAAATTATTATATCCCTACTTATAAGACTGATTTAATCACTAATGGAGATAATTCATGTAAAACAGTTACCTTATTACCCTGACACAATGCTCAATAGTAGCCATTTACTTTTGTCATTCAGTTAAGTCCAATTTACCTTTGAATGTTGAAATAACAGAAGAAAAAAAAAAACCTACCACAGTCCCCACAACATGTAAAAAACCCTAAAATGTAAACCTAAGAGAAAACAAAGAGTCTGACAGAAAATGCTAAACATTAAAAAGTTCTCATTCACAAGAATTAAGATCAACTAAAGGGAGTGCTCACATTTTAATTACACACTGAAGAACATAATAACTCAGCCGTAATACTTTATACCTGCAAAGAACATTCAAGATTCATGAGTTCTTAGCTAGAATGCCCCAGTTTTTAGGACATTTCATATACATTTGTTTCAGACTAGTGACACTATAGGTTCCAATTTTCATATGAAGAAAAGTAATTTACACAAGTCCTATGGTATATAAATGGCTTATCTGAGAACTCAAATCTCCTGAGCCTCTGCCCTGGATTCAGCCCAAATTAGTCTTCATCAAATAGCTGACTGCCTGTTTCATACAAATTTAACACTCAGAAAACAAAGATGCAAAACTGATACATCCTATCTTAAAGAGATTTGCAATTTCTTTCAATACAAGGCAGAAATGAAGTAAGTGATACAATAACAAAGGAAATGTAGTGATAAGAGCATAAAAGAAAGAGTGGTTAATATTTATCAAAGGAGCTAAGAAAAATATGAAGGAAACGAAATTTAAGCTGAGTTCATCAAGAATGAACAGAATTTTATTAAAAGAGAATGACAAGAAGGGGACTTAACGCTAAGAGATGATAATAAGCTAGCATGTGAGGTACTTTAGAGGACCAGTAAATATATCTCTGTGGTTGGAGATGAACAAGTAATAAGATTACCTACTTAAGACCAGGTAAATCCCGGACACTGGCTCCTATTTCCTCTGCTTCTGGGTACAGTTTCTCCACCAATTCCAAAGGGCCCCAGATGGTTTTGTTATAACTCAAAAATGATTTTCTTACTAAAGACAAAAAGAAAATATAATGCACACAATTTTACATATAAAACTAGAAAATTCTTTTTAAGCATTTAGATTGGACCTTTCTAACTTAATATACAATCATTCAAAGACCTTTCCTCTCTTCTAATCACTACACAGGCTTGTTGATCAGAAACCTGTTGCCCACCTTACTATTTTTTTCCTAAAATTTCAGAAAAATGTATCGTAGCCATTCTTTCATAACAAATATGCAGGCAGGTATTTTTTTTTTTGGAGTTGGAGTCTCACTCTGTCACCCAGACTGCAGTGCTGTGGCCACTCCCGGCCACTGCAGCCTCGACCTGCTGGCTCCGGTGATCCTCCCGCCTCAGCCTTCTGCGTAGCTGGAACTACAGGCACGTGCTACCACGCCCGGCTAATTTTTTTTATTTTTATTGTAGAGATGAGGTCTCGCCAAGTTGCCCAGGCGGGTCTCGAACCCGCGGGCTCAGGCAATCCACTCACCTCAGCCTCCCAAAGGCGTGGGATTACAGGCTGAGCCACTGAGCCCGGCTCAGACAGGTAATTAAAGTAAAAAATAACTGCACTAATTCTTTACCAGTATCAAAAGGAGTGGTAAAAAATAACTGCACTAATTCTTTACCAGTATCAAGAGGAGGAGGAGGAGGAGGAGGAGGAGGAGGAGGAGAAGAAATATATAGACACTACTAATCCAATGAGTGGGCAAAAATGTGGGGAAGTAAATGCTTTCATCCAGTTAGTTGGCAAATCAATGTAGCATTCAAAAATGCCCTTTGACTCAGTGAATCTAATCATAAAAAATCAAAAAGAAATTCTAGTATATGGAAACAAAGATATATACCCCAAAATGTTCATATGGCACAGTTTCTTTCTTTTTTTTCTTTTTTTTTTGAGTTGGAGTCTCACTCAGTTGCCCAGGCTGCAGTGCAGTGGCATGCTCATGGCCACTGCAGCCTCAACCTGCTGGGCTCAGGCGATCCTTTCGCCTCAGCCTTCCAAGTACCTGGAACCACAGGCGTACACCAGCACGCTTGGTTAATTTTTGATTTATTATAGAGATGAGGCCTCACCAAGTTGCCCAAACTGGTCTCAAACCCCTCGACTCAGGTAATTCTCTCAACTCCGCCTCCCAAAGTGCTGGGATTATAGATGTGAGACACCGTGCCCAGTTGGCAGTTTATGATAGTAAGAAATTGAAAACAATCTCAATGTGCATTAAGAGGAGAATGGTTGCCAGGCATGAATACAAAATCTGCTGTTAGCATAATTTTCAGGGATGGTTCATATTTCTACAATAATCCCATCCACACCGGACACGGTAGCTCACACCTGTAATCCCAGCACACCTGCAGTTCTGGCTACATGGAAGGCTGAGGCGGAAGGATCACCTGAACCTAGCAGGTCGATGCTGGGGTGGCCATAAGCGTGCCACTGCAGTCCAGCCTGGGTGATGGAGTAAGACTCCAACTCAAAAAAAGAAAACATAAAGTTGTAAAATGTTTTCTACCAAAATCAACCCACTCAATACTTTTTAGTACAAAGTAACAGCAATTACAACCTCAAAAAATAATACATTTTCAAGGAGATTTAAAAAGGAGAGTCTAAAATGATTTAATTTTTAAAAATCTCACAATACCTTTAAGACCGTGTTTCAGACAATGTTCCATAACAACAAAGAACTGCTGCAGAGGGGGATAGTCAGAGTCCAAGGTGCGGCCGAAGCTGAGTGCAGATTCAATGAGGCCTTTGATACTCAGTTTAGCCATATTTAACAAGTTTGCTCTCTCTACAGCTGTGGGGTCTTTTGTAGCTGAAACCACAGGAAAGGAGTCCAACTTCACTGGTAAGATATGACAATAAAAAAAAATACACACTCTTCCCTTCCCCTATAAAACCAAAGTGGTTTTGAGGTTGGTTGACCAGCTGTCTCCCCAACTAAATGACACCCCTAGTTAACATCTATGTCTCCTTCGTGTATACTGTAGAAAGCTACCACGCCCACTCCATAGTTTATAAATTAGTCTCAAGATCCCACAAATTTACTATTCTCCTGTATTTATTTTTCTTTCGTGGTACCTCTTCACAGAAAATGAGTTTTTAAATATAATAATAATAATTCAATATAAACTGATAGTAGAATACAAAATCACAGACATGATTCCAAATAAAAAAGTCTCATGCAAAAGGTGAAGAGCAGGTATGGTCTAAGGATGAATTCTAAGGCAAAAATATTCAGAATAAACTGGCAGAAAAATAAAAGGTAGTTAAAGTCCTAAGATTTCAGTTTCATCCATAACAAGTAAAACATGCTGACAAAGGGAATCAGGAAAAGTCACCCAATTCTTTCGGACATTTTAATCTTCTTTCCAACTTCTTTCTCCATTACTTCTATATTGCATGAGTCCATTATTTGACCAAGAGGAAATAAATGCAAGGACCAGTTTCACATAACAGTTTCCTGCCATTCCACACAGCTGATGATGCTCACTGTTTCAGTTAATAGATGCATATTATTGTTTGTTTAAGACGGGTCTCACTGTTGCCCAGGCTAGAGTTCAGTGGCATGATCATGGGTCACTGCAACCTCGACTTCCTGGGCTCAAGTAATCCTCCCACCTCTGCCTCCCAAGTAGCTAGGCCACCAAACCTGGCTAATTTTCTTTTGTAGAGACAAGGTCTCACTATGTTGCCCAGACTGAACTTGAACTCCTGGTCTTGGCCGGGCACGGTGGCTCAAGCCTATAATACCAGCACTTTAGGAGGCCAAGGCAAAAGGATTGCCTGAGTCCAGGGGTTCAAGACCAGCCTGGGCAACTTGGTGAGAACTCATCCCTACAAAAAATTAGCCAGACATGGTAGTGTGCCTGTAGTTCCTGCTACTTGGAAGGCTGAGGCAGAAGGATAGCCTGAGTCCTGCAGGTCGACGATTGGGTGGACAGATGTGAGTGTACCACTGCACTCCAGCCTGGGAGCCAGAGTGAGATTCTGACTAAAAAAAAAAGGCTGGGCTCGGTGGCTCAGCCTGTAATCCCGCACCTTTGGGAGGCTGAGGTGAGTGG